CTACTACAGTTTAAATAAAGTCACATCTTGATTTATTACTGGTTAATTACAAAATAGCTGAAAATAATATTTAGAAGTTTTAACTTTAATGCACAAATTCACATCTGTGGAGTGAGAAAACACAAGTTGCTGCTCCCTTGTGCAGGGGTCACCACAGCGAGCAAACGCTCATGAAAGATTTGGCAATTATTATTAGCTGGATGCTCCTCCTGACTCAACCTGGACTTGAACCTGTGGCCTCATGATTATAAGACCTGACTGCTGAGCTACTGCAGCCACCAAGTGATTATGTTGACAGTTATTCAGTTTAAAATGTGTGTTAATAATTCACATTACTACTCATTTCACTGATTATCTATCTATCTTTACTGTGATAAGCTATTGATATCTTAAAGCAGTGGTTTCCAACACTGGTCCTTGAGGAACACCATCATGCATGTTTTAGTAGTTTCTCTGCTCTAACACACCCGAATCAGTGGTTTAATTACTTCCTTAAGTTCGGCAGAAGCCTGTTCATCACCCTTTAATTCAAATCAGGTGTGTTGAAGAGAATCAACTAAAACAAGCAGGGTGGAGTTCCTCAGGGACCAGGGTTGGGAAACACTGTCTTAAAAAGGTGTAAAGGTTATAATCTTAATTTAATTACGTTTTATGAGTAAATTTAAAACGATCTGATTAAAAATCCAAAAAGACAGCAGATCATTTTTCAAAGAAATTGTGACTTTTTTATATATATAAGTTGCAAAGCTTAAAGAAGAATATGGCAACTTTTAATAGTAATGATATTAGTTCTTCTTTTGTCATTCTGCTTTTTGTAAATTAACGTTGTAAGCTAGACAAGCGTGTGCTAGTTCGTTAGTTAGCGTGGTTATTAGCCTTTGAAGCGAGCCTGCAGCAGGCTGTTTATTTCTACTGTGAACCTGTGAACATCTCATAGCTTGTCGTTACGTTTGCTTCAGAACCGCCTAACCGTAAAGAGTGTTGGGTGGTGCATCTCTGCTACACAAGCCATGGCCTGCCATGATCTCTGCAACTGGAAACGTTTTTAAACAGCAAAAATTGTCTCTTTTTTTTTTTAATCAGCTAAAATAGTTGTGAGGAATTCCCCTTTTTTACTCCATCATACAGCTGACTGGGTGGGGGAGGAGCAGCTTTACTCTGCACTACATGTTATTGGAGACCAGACCACCCTGCACTTTTTAATATGTTATTAAAATAAATAAAATCACAGGAGTGCTGTTAGAAAAATCTATAAAGCCTGAAACTGTCCCATTTTAATGTGCCTAGAGTTTAGTCTTCAAAAGTAAATCTATTGTGAAAGCTTTTGGTTGTATTTCATAATCAGCAAAATCTTGAGCCCCAAAATGACCAGTTCTCCATTTCCTCTTTTGAACCATACAGGCATTTTACCTCATTCACAGGTGAAAACCTCCTTCTGGGAAGTCACATTCCCATAATCTGAACCAGCAGGTGCAACAGGAACAGCGATGCTCATGATTCAGGGAAAGGGTGCAACAAACCCATTAAATCCCTCTCCTGTAATGACTTTACTCCCATGCCAGTGGCAGCTCCTCTACTCCACAACCAATATATTCAGCCAGACGTGATTCCCTTTGTTCTTTTTATCTGGAGCCTAAAGGCACAGGCGGTCTGTTAGCCATGGCACCACCCCCACTCATCTTCCACAACCCCCTAGTAGAAGTTTGGGGAGCAGTGCCTGCCTGGTGTGGCTTATTGTAGGTGAAGTGGAGCATGCCAACAACTCCTGGAGGGCAGCAGTTTAGGGAACACAAAGCTACTACACCTGACCTTTATACTATATTTTTTTCTTTCTGACAGGAGTTTACTAACAAGGGCTGGGAGGTGGAGGGGCCGATTTGGTCTACCTTGAAGTGGAAACCCAAGCAGACGTGCTCAGACGTTGCTGTCATCTTTATTTATCTTCCTCCTGTCAGCCTGCATACAGAGGTCAATGTAGCGAGGCAGACATGTGTATACACGTGTATACACTCGTACGGCCCCTGGTCAAACCCAATGGGGCCAGACTCTTCCTGCATGTCTGTCCTGAGAGACCACTGACTCAGACTGCGTCATCTTATTCCGAAACTGACTGATCAAATTAAAACTAGCTCTAATGTGTTTTAAAGAAAGGTCGTTAAAATGGAGATTGGGGACATTTTCTTGCAGGATTTGAAGTAAAGGTCAGCCGATAAACACGTTTCCTTTACGAATATGACCTCTCTGATGGTGCAGAGAGATCGCGAAGAGGTTGTGTTCCATGCACAGTTTTTATATTTCATTACACTTTCATGGATTTATTATATTTGTGTTTTTAATCTGACTCAAGAAAAATGCTGTGAATGCTCTTGTAATAACTAAACATGAATGGTTCTGTAAAGTAAGACTGGCAGAGGAAATTACCTTTTTCCTTTTATAGCTCCAGTGACCTAAATTAACTCAAATTGCTAGTCAGCCTTACTGGCGGCATGCCTCTTAATGGGATGCCATTGGTGTTCAGTCCAGACCCACCCAGGTTTCCATTTTCATTTTAGAAATTAAATGTTCAACCCCTAACATAAGCCAACACAAATTAATCCCTAATTTTTGCAGGTGAACCTTAAATCCTTATTTTTGAACTGAATGCATACGTTATTTGTATTTCCTTTGAGTTTTCAGGGGCGCACATGCCCCCGTGGATAAACTTTCAATGTTTCTAATGTAAAGTTGCTTTTGTTTTCTTCTAATTCTGTGCACTTGGACAGCCATCATATTTGGTGACTTGTCTTGCTGTGCTGGCTGCAGCAGTGTCGTGGCAGCAGTGACTCAAGCCTGCAAAAACTGCATTTAATCAACCATAGTCTGACTTTAATCAGCGTCTGCTTTACCCATCTCTGCCATTCTCATTTTTACCCTGACAGCACATTTACATAATCCTCTTCATTCTCCATGTCCAGCTCAGGTTTATCTGCTGTTTTTGTCATTGTTCATGTTGCATTCCCTGCTTATTTGAGTAAATATATGAGTTCACTGATACATACAGCAGTAACATGGTGTGTGAGTGTGTTTGTGTGAGGACTGATGGTCTCTTTCCCTCCAGCCTTCTTGTTGCTGCCTTCATCAGCTCTGTCACCATATGGAAACAGCTGGTCTCCAGTGGTGAGGAGCCATCTGCACTGCATGAAAATGTCATGAGAGACCGAAATGTGACCCAGCCAGCAGAGAGACCAGGAAAAGTGTTAGTTTTATTAGAGGATTTTGGATTTTCTTGGGAATGTGGAATCCATTGCACTATGCCAGCTGTGGTTTTCATTTGTAAAGAATTTATAGGAATGCAGACATTCTTCGCCAGTGAAACAACAGACAGATTTAAAAGTGGATAAGCACCTTTTAGCTACAGCAGGGAGCTTCTTGTATGTACCTCAAGAAGTCTGCAATTTGAGTAAAAGTGTAGGAAAAACTGATTGCAACATACTCAGACACAGCTCTGGGTCATTCCCCAAGTCATTGGGGAAAAGGCGCTCACATTCTGGAGCTGAGGCAGCCTCTGCCCTGGTGCAAGCGAGTCACGAGGAAGCAGCCAGGCAGAAATGTTCCTGTCTGTGAGACCTCTGTTCTGTTTAAGTGTCTGTAGAAGTCATTCTGTGGACATTTCTGACATTAATTAGACCTTACTTGGGCATGTTTCTCTTTCTCCGAGGATGCGGTGGGGTTGTTTTTCAGTTTATGTGTTTATCTTGTTGCCAGTGTTTGCCAGTAAGTTTATTTGTGCAGGATTATTTAGGACAGCAGCAGTCAGGGGGAGTCTTTATCTCATTTTGACCCTGTATCTACCTTAAAAGCAGCTGGACTGTCAGTGACAGCAAAGGCACTGAAAACTCGGATCAAAAGTGAGGATCACCGTTTCATCTGGGAAGATGGGAGCTTTTTAATGGCAGACCGGTGCAGTTCCAGTTACCTCTAAAGTTAGATTTCTGCTCTTGGAATGATGGACATCCAACTTAAATGGATAGTTTAGATTCTTTAAAGTAGGGTTCTGTGGACAATTATGAACAATTCATTTTTGCCTGTTGTAGATAGCACTCATAACAACCTCAGTTCAGAGAAATAAAAGATTTTTCTGACCAAACTGATGAGCTAATGGCTAGTCTGAATGGAGCTAAGACCCAAGTGTATTGCTTTGTTGTTTGTTTTTGCAAACGGGTATAAAATTCATTGTAAGTAACCAACCGATGTGTGATTACTGATGATTCAAAGGGTTTAATTTTATAATCAAACACCGTAGCAACAGATTCACAAACTGTGTTTTTTGTGTGAGGCTGATTTTATGAGATACAAACTAACAGAAGTACAAACAAACTCCATTTTAATAAGGTTATAACTGCATTAATATATACTCTGTTAATCCCCAATGGGGAAATTCATACTCTGCATTTTTCACATTGCACATGTGAGCATGCATGTGGATCAGAGGGCTGCCATGTGAGGCAGCCATGAAGAGCTGGAGGGGTAAGAGCCTTGCTCAAGGGCCCACAGTGGGGACATATTTTCCACCCATTTTTTGTGCTGGTCTGGGGATTCAAACCAACGACCTCCCAATCACAGGCTCACCTTTTCTAAGCTCTGCACCACGCCCCAGATTTTATGAAGAAAGGCAGCCATACTGGATTTTAAGGATTGTTGTGATATTAGTCAAAACTCCAGCTTCTAGTTGATTTTTTTTTCAAATTTGGAATGGTGAAATTGTTACTTCCAAGTGTTTTTGTACACAAAATTAATATTTCAATGCTAGGATGGAAGTATAGCAGAGTAATTAAAACTGAGAAAGCATTGACTAACATTCACTAGCTCGGGGTTTGACAGGTCTACAAAGCAGAGCTCTTTTGTGTAGATAATAATATAAAATAACAGAAAGTCATTTGACTGGAACGCGAAGACTAAAATAGAAACAATTGCCGTATTTAACCTTAGCGATTGTTTCTTTTTACTTTCTTTGTTCACAGCAAAAAGCCTCGGGCAAGGTGCTCTTTGACTTGGTGTGCTCTCACATGAATCTTATTGAAGGCGATTACTTCGGCTTGGAGTTTCAGAACCACCAAAAGATGATGGTGAGAAAATTAAGTCCAAATACAGCCTCTTTTATGAACATTTTTCTGTGTTATTTTGATTTGAATTTGATTTGTGATGCTTTTTTATTCCTTCACAGGTGTGGTTGGACCATGTCAAACCCATTATCAAGCAGCTCAGACGTAAGTGTTAAAAAATGTTCCTTCATGGAAATAAGTTTGAACAAAATAGCCACCAAATTCAACAATAGCTATAAATGCATTAGCTGCATAAATATTGCTTTAAAATGAGATTTTCTTTGTGTTTTTGTCCCACACAGGCCCAAAACACACAATCCTGAGGTTCAGCGTGAAGTTTTTTCCCCCAGATCATGCTCAGCTGCAGGAGGAGCTGACGAGGTGAGCTTCTCTTCAGATCATCTAACTCCTCTTATCTCTAACCACATTTGTCTTCCACTTGGCGCTGAGCTGTACATTTGTATTTAAGTCTGCGTGACCGATCTCCGCTGCGACTGAAAGCGATTGTGGACACATAAATGAAACATGTGCCCTGATTCCCAGAGGATTTATTTTCATTTCAGTTGTCATGGCTGCCATGTCTCTCATTGCGTCCTTTGGAGATTAGCGTGGGGGAGCTAATGATTTTCTGGTTTCTGTTTTGTTGTTCTGGATGTTCTGCATGTTTTTAGAGACGGAGAGGATAATTAAGCAATTTGAAAAAAAATTAAAGCTTCTTTAATTGTTTAAGTATTCACAATACATGGTATTTGATTTGACACTTAGTTGTTTTGCTTTAATTCAGTTCAATTTATTTATATAGTGCCAATTCACAACAAAATTCATCCCAGGGCACAGTACACAAATCTTCACACATTATAAAATGCCATTAAGTAAAGGTTCATTTAAGTAATCCAGAAGATTGCATCAGATCTTCAGTTTTGTCTTAATCTTCCATCCTGAGCTGCACGTTGACGACAGTGGAAAGGAATAACTCCCTTTTAACAGGAAGAAAAGACCAGCAGTACCAGGCTTAAGCTAGGTAGCCATGTGCTTCGACCGGCTGGGTTTAGACAGGACAAGAAAAAGACACAAAACACAGAATGGCAGGTCTATGGGAAGAAATAGAAAGAAACACATGGTAATTGTAGAAATCATTCCAAACACAAACATGGACAGCAGAGAGAGTAGTAGCAGCATATTGAGGAAATGTGGTCAGTTTATCCTCCAGCAGTCTAAGCCTATAACATCATAATTACAGGATAGCTCAGGAAACCCAAGCCGACCCTAACTATATGATTTATCGAAAAGGAAAGTCTTAATCCTAGTCTTAAAAACACCGTAGATAGGATTTCAACTGCATGGATAGAAACGGGAAGTCGGTTCCACAAGAGAGGAGCCCGATAACTGAAATCTCTGACTCTCATTCTACATTTAAAAACTCTAGGAACCACAAGTAAACCTGCAGTGAGGTTCTCTGTTAAGGCCTTGTCACCAAGTGATGTATAGCATCAGCACATAAGTGTGTGCTATAAGTTGTCATCATTGTGTGTTCCCATACAATGATGAAATTAATTCTCTGCATTTAACCCATCACACCTGGGAGACACCCAGGTGGAGCAGTGGTCAGCTATTGAGCGCCCGGGGAGCAATTAGGGATTAGGTGTCTTGCTCAGAGACACCACGACATGTGTGAATGGCTGGGAGTCGAACCGAAACTTTCTGGTCCCAAGTCGGCTGCCCTTCCTCTCCCCCATCTCAGCCAACCAGCACATGCCAACGTTTGTAAAAAAAAAAAAAAAACAGGTGAACACGCTTGTGTAAGTTTTGAACAAGTTACCAGCATGCTGATATACGACGGACAGCCAATAATTTTGTACATGCACATCATTTTCAGCATATGCTGACAAGTTGCAGATACGTTAGGCATGTTACAGGTATGCAACAGATAAGTCCTGCAAAGCTCACACATATATTATGTGCAAGTTACTCATGAGTTGACATACGTTGGAAACCAGCTGGGCAATTGTGGAGCGTATGCAACTCATTTCAAACATATGAGTACATTAATTTATGCAGAGCTTATGATCATCGTTAGTGTAACTTATGCTGAACTTGTGCATGTTGGAGCATACTACAACGACGACATGACATCATATGTGAAAGGGCAGCTCTCTGCATTTCCAGTCAGTAATTTTGCATTGATCAGCATGTCTCAAAAGAAATCAAACAAGTCTGTGATCAAGGAAGCTGCAGCCAGCTCCTCCAGCTCTGTGGTGATAGTTGTGGACTCTGCACCTCATGGATCCAGCAGGAGTGATGGGTTGCTCATCATTTCAGCTGTATATAGCTGAACCCCCAAAACACTGGTAAATACAGTAGCTGTAAGTTATAAATATGTTCAGTAAGTTCTAGGGTTGTCGCTATACGTTGAATATGTCAATGTACTGTAATGCCCCTCATCATGGAATGAACGTGAACCAGAGTGGACTGTGCGCTCTCAGAGCCATATTTAATGTGCAAAAAACAGAACACGAGCTGCCGTCTCAGCCGCAGCTCACGCTGGACCCAATTTTAACCCCTTCATGCTCAGTCGCTGTCCTCTACAGCTCCACACTCCTCCTCTGTTTCTCCAACACGCACACCTCTTGCATACCTAGTGCCCCCTACACTTTGAACCCGGAACATTAACCCTGTAAGGCACAGACATTACTATTCGTTGTGACCACATCTGATATAAGTAATAGATAGGTTAGACATAAGTTGCTTATACTGTATGTGTAGCCGGGTGCCCAGCTTGTTTCCGACGTATGTAAACTTATGAGCAACTTACATGTAATGTGTGTGAACTTGTGCATGGCTCGCATGCCTGTAACCTATGCCTAACTTGTCAGCAACATGTTCACAAACTCTAAATACTAAACATTTTGTGCATGTACAACATTACTGGCTAGCAACAAACATATGCCATTGCATATCAGCACGCTGGTAACGTATTAAAAACTTTCACCTAACTTGTGCTACTTACACCAGCATGTTTGCCTTTTGTTTTCCATACGCTGATGCTATGCGTCACTGTGTGATCGTCGCCCTCGTCACAATCTGCTCCAAAGTGCTTTGCACAAGTTGGGCATGAGTTACACTAACCGTGTGCATAAGATCTGCGTAAGTCAATAAATTATGTCATACTCTTGTATAAGTTAAACGAGGGACAAGTAATGGATGTTACTCATACAGTAGGTTATACTGTATATTTGGGTTGTATAGGTTATAACTTGTTAGTGATATGGTATGTATGCGTTCAAAATAGGCTTCCAGTTGATTTTTTTAAATTCCATCTTCATTGTATGCCCGTGTGTTGGACAAAAATACACAAGTTCTCTAAAATGTTAAAGTGTGACAGAGCCTTATGGAAAACATGGAGCAATGCAATCATATTATAAGGTGGAGCTTGGTTGTAGAGAGAGGGAGCCGATGGAGAGAAGCTAAAACTGGAGAAATATGACCTCTCCTAACTCTCGTCACAAGTCTAGCAGCAGCATTTTTGATCAGCTGAAGACTTTTTTTTTTAATGAACACCCAGATAATAATGAATTACAATACTCCAGCCTAAAAGTGATAACCGCATGAACCAGTTATTCTGCATAATTTTAGACAAGATGTTTCTGATTTTAGTGATACCACACAAGTGGAAGAAAGCAGAGGGTGTTGTTGAGCTGATCTGGTCATATGGTTGTTAATGGGGGGGATTGTTTGTGTTTGTTGCCAGATACCTGTTTGCTCTCCAAATCAGACAGGATCTTTCCTGTGGCCATCTGATCTGCAATGACACCAGCGCAGCCCTGATGGTCTCCCACATCATCCAAGGTAAATCACACATGGCAGATCTGATAACTTTAAAAAAAAAGAAAGCACACTGTTCTTTTTTCCACAAAGAGCTTATCATCAAATGTAAAGCACAGACTGTGCGAATTGATTATCTTTGTGTTGCTATGGAGACCTTTTAGACAAAACTGCTTCAGAGCAGCCACAAATTTTCACAACCAGACATTTTTGAAGCAGTTGTTTTGTCCATTCATGATCAAAGTGTGCACTTTTTCACCGTAAAACACCAACTTTGGAGTGTTTTTTAAAAAAAAAATCTTTCTGTCTTCTTCTCAGCTGAGATCGGCGACTTTGAGGAGAGCCACTGCAGGTCACATCTCCTCAACAACAACTACATTCCAGACCAGATGCCCCTTATCGACAAGATCATGGAGTTTCACTCAAAGCATATGTGAGTTTCTGAACCGTTAAAGAGGCATCACAAGAATCCAATCTGATTTAACCCTGCTCACGAGGTCAGTGAAGTCATAAGCTGAGCACACATTCTCCTCAGCCGTGAACAGGAAATGTTGTTGCAGACTTTGTTATTGTCCCACTGGGACGTTTCATTACACAGGTGACACATTCAGGAAAGCAGCCATTGAATAAATGCTTTATTTATCTTTGACGTATCACTGTAGGCTAGCCAATTTTTGTAATTTATTTGACAGCTTCTGGCTTTTTCCCCCATTCTTTAAAAAAAAAGGTTTCTTTGTTGAAAAAAGTGACATTTTGAAAAGTGAGCATGAGAATGGTCAGCAGATATAGGTTTGTGGAGTAAAACCCAGATTTACAGTATTTTTTGCTCTATAAGTTGCATTTTTTTTTTTTTCATAATCTGCATGCCCTGTGACTTATACGTTGAAGTGACATATTTATGGATCCCACCCCCCCACCCCCCCATATTTATAAACCAATTTTTGGCTGAGATATGACCGTTTTCATTCATTCAGACTAAAAATATTGAACACTACCATTTTCAGCCGCTAGATGGCTGTTGAGTAGCATGGCATGCCGTTGTGTAATGTAATATGTAAAAGTGGCTATTAATGACACAATCGGCTTGCCATAGTCTGCCAACTTCGTCCAGCTCGCTTGGAGCAACCATCAAATCAGCTTCATTTCACTGCGCCGCCCTGGCGAAATGCAGCTAATTTGACCATTGAAGTGCATTTATTAAGTAAAAGCTCAACTGAGACACACATTTATTATAAAGTCGAGCAAACAAATTTTTGTTTTTAGGTGCTTATCTTGTTAAATTTTGAAGAAATTCACTACGACTCGTCCAACTGCGCACGCCCGCTTCCGCAAATCGGGTTTTGGAATACAGCTGATTTGACCGTAAAAGTGCATTTAGCAAAAATTAGATCGAGACACACCTTTATTATAATTTTGAGCAAACAAATAATTGTTTTTAAGTGTTAAGCTTGTTAAAGTCCTCCTGTGCATGCTCCCATGGCCGCCATTTGGCAGCCAATCGATTTGCGGCCCAACATGACCTACATTTCCGGGTTGTCAGTGGTGACGTGTAACAAACGAGACGCGTCAGTGGTGATACATAATAGATGCGACATATACAGCGAAGCAACGTATTTATGGATTTTTCCACTTTATTAGACATATTTGGACTAATGCGACTTATTAGCATTGCGAAGTGTACGGCGGAAAATACGATAGTCTATTTAAGGACAACTAAGGACAACTTTGTGAGAAGTGAAGTTGGTTCCTTTCTATCTAGTTTTTTGCTTTTGGGAATAAATTACTGGAAAGCTTCCAGATCTCCTCACGCCATCAACCATCTCTCCTCAGTGCATACGTTATTCGAGCAGCAGCTTTGCCAACACTTGCCCCCTCCCCCCGTTACACTGAGTTATGAACACACACAGAGGGCGACTGCTGCAGCATCAGAGGAGCTCCATTAAATTTGCCTCTCTTTGACTTGTCTGCTGATAACTAGAGCTCTTCTGACTGGAGCGCCACGTTGAGTTAAATCTCCTGTCAAGTACCACACACAGGAAGCAGGAAATCTTATCTACTGACAAGAATTAGGAAAGTTAGTTAGCAGCCCCTCCCCAAACCTCCCACTTCTGCTCCAAAAACTCAGATTAACGCTGGGAGCCTGGACACCACTCTGTCTTGTTCTTTCACCCTTAAACAGTGGGACATGCAGCAGGATAATAAGGCAGGAGTTCATATATTTATCAGGCAAATTGCCCGAAAAACTTAGGAATGATACATTTGTCAAATCAGAGTCTTTGACCATATGTTATTTTTTGCAGTTTGCATAGTCATATATTTATTGCTTGGGTCTATGTCAGGGCTAGTCAACTGGTGGCCCAGGGGCCAAATCAGGCCTGCAGGTGAACTCAATTCAGCCCACCAATGGGTTCATTTTTAAATAAAACTAGATTTTAAACCATAAAACAAACTTACCGTACTTTTCGGACTATAATTCATATATTTTTGCGTAAATTTGCAAGTCCTGCGACTTGTAGTCCGAAGCGAATAATTTATATATTTTCCCCCCATATTTATAAACCAGTTTTTGGCTGAGAGCTGATGATTTCTTTCATTCTAACATGGAAAATATTGAACACTACCATTTTCAGCCGTTAGAGGGCCCTCAACCAATATGGCAAACCAAGCGTCTCATTAATACGTAAAAGTAGCTACTGAGACACTTGGCATGGCAAAGCCACCTTTGTCTCACTCCAGAACTCCTGGAGCTTCATTTTGCTGCCCCGCCCAGGTTCAAGTTCAAGTTCAAGTTTTGTTTATTTGTCATATGCAAGGTTAACAGTACAATGGAATGCTTAGGATGAGAAGAACCAATTGGACTCGCTAAAAAAATTGAAGAACAAACAAACAAGAAATACTAAAACATGTAAATGCATAAGGCGAAGCAACATTTATATTTTTTCTACTTTATTAGACATAATTGGACTGATGCGACTTATATGGTGGAAAGTACGGTACTTACTGACAATAACTGCTGGATGTGTGGCCCCTGAGCCTCTGGCTTTCAGTGACTGTGGCCCCCTGAACAATTTACATGAATAGCCCTGGTCTATGTGATTTAAACAAACTCAAAAATGACTACAAGTTGGTCCGTTTTAAAGATATTGATTTAAAATTTGATGTGCTTGCAGCTGGGAGTCCTCTCCATTTTTTCGTCTGAGTGCTAACACATCATAGGGGATATTTGTTTGAAACTTTTGCATATATGATGGTGGGCAATATGCATTCCTTAAAATAATATTCATTGTTATAATGTGTAGATTACATTTGTGTGTTTCACCAAGTAGTTCTCATTAGCTATTTCTGTACATTTTTATATTTTTATCACTTTAACTCAGTGACTTGGCATCAGTAGTATTTTTACAAACTGATTGGTTTATAACAAGACTTGTTCAATTCAGTTCAATATAACTTTACTGTCCATAACTTCCATGAAATGGAGATTTATCTTTGACATCTGGCTCCTGGTGTAATAGAAATTCCTTTTTATTACGTTGGTCTTTTCTTGGTGTTTGATGCCACTTTATGTGACATTAAATATTCTGTATGTCTGTGGGGTTTTTCTGTTGTAGAGGTCATTCACCAGCAGAATCAGATTTTCAGTTATTAGAAGTGGCTCGCAAGCTGGAAATGTACGGGATTCGACTCCACCCTGCCAAGGATCGCGAAGGCACGAGTTTAAGTCTGGCCGTGGCTCACACAGGTGTCCTGGTCCTGCAGGTCTGTAGAATACACACCAGGCAAATGGACATAATGTGGACTTTGGTTATTTGTTTCTCAGCTCTGCTGCTGTTCATGATACATTCTTGATCAGGGGCTTATAAAACCTTTTGTCACTTCAGGGATACACAAGGATAAACGCCTTCAACTGGTCTAAAATTCGCAAACTGAGCTTTAAGCGAAAACGTTTCCTCATCAAGCTGAGGCCAGATGTAAATGTAAGTGTTGCTTGGTCTGTTGTTAAGAACACACACCGCCTCACTGTTGTAAGTTTTGTTTTCAACGTTTCTTTATAGAGCTCATATCAGGACACTTTAGAGTTTCTGATGTCCAGCAGGGACTGCTGTAAAGTCTTCTGGAAGATCTGTGTTGAATTTCACGCCTTCTTCCGCCTCTTTGAAGAACCTAAACCCAAACCCAAGCCGATGCTGTTCACACGAGGCTCCTCCTTCAGATTTAGGTAGAGATTTTGTCTTGTAAAAGTGTTCTTCAGCAGGACTGGAGGTACGCACTTAGTTAATAGTCTGTCACAGCTCCTGCAGAGAAGCTCACTATTATCTCTGTTGTAATTGTGCAGCGGTCGCACTCAGAAGCAGGTGATTGATTACGTGAGGAAGTCCGAGTTCAAGAAGATGCCATTTGAGAGGTAAAGACTAGAGACACTTTGGACATATTTGGTTCAACAACAAATGCTGAGATTGTGTAACGCTGCCCTGTAATGTCCCATCTGTCAGGAAACACAGTCGGGTCCAGTACAACACCCGGGTTCAACACAACAGTCGCTTGTCACCATTGCCTTCTCCACACCATTATGAAGTGCCAACAGAAGTGAGGCTTTCCTCTTTGCTCAGTGTTTTTGTGCTTCATTGTGCAGGCTTAGTTTTTTTCTGTTCAGGGAAATTTATTTGGTTGAGTTGTTATATTACATCCTGGTAAAAATGTATTGGTCCAGTGTGGACAGTTTTTTTTTATATAGTAGAAAAGATAGAAGCCCTTCAAAACTGAACAAAAGACATCGCAGGGAATTCTTATACCAGACAGAGTTCATTTAAAACTACAGCTTTTAGTTGGTAATAATATTACTCTTTTGAAATTTTAACTGTTTTCAGAGTGGTGCTCCCGGGAACAGACTCAGCTCGTCTCCTCGCCGTCACTGGAAGGAGTCGGTGCTGGTGAGTGCCGAAGACCCATCAGCTTTGCGGACGACGAGGATGAGCCCTTCCCACCAGAGAAATGGTCAGGAGGACAGAAAAGGATCCATGTCCAATACAGAGGAGAGGAGAGGCTCAACGCGACAAACTCACCAAGATCATCTAAGCCAAGGTCCAGCATCTTGTGCTGCTTCAGACGGCCGCCCCGCCATCAGTGGTACAAATATTGAATTTATCATGTGTAAGGAGCGGGCTAGTAGAACAAATTCTATGGAGCAGGCCCTGTTTCACAAAAGATCTGGCTCAGGCACTCAGCAGGAGCACTTTCTGGGTGTGGTACGGCACCAGGAGTCACCTTCCTGTTCTAGATCATCACTGAACAAGAAGTGTGAACTAGATCAGGCTGTTAAGCAGTCCCATCGAATGGTTGACCCAAACCCTGACCGTATCACACTGGGCACTATCAGTGGTCAGAACAGAGAGAGGCAGTGTGGCAGCCCCCTCCCAGGTCCACATTTGATGGGTTCAAGGAGTTCTGGTACCAGTCCTGCCTTTAACAACCCCCATCAAGCATCGTCCCTCACTCGCACCGAGCAGAACGGCTACATTCCCCCACTCCTTAACAATGCTAGATGCTCCCCACTCCTGAGCCGATCATCTCGCTCACAGAAAATCCAAAAAGTGCATCAGCAGTCTAACGCAGACCCACGTCATGGTGCATCTCCACCAGGGCAAGCATCTCGTTCTGTCTTGTCTCGGGCTGAACGTATGGCTGCTCTCGAACGCCGCATGATGGCCAACGGCCTCTCTGCACCGGGCAGATCCCGGGCTGGTCAAAAACGATTAGGGCAGGCTGCCGTCACACATATAGGTGCAGTTCAAATGAGTGAGGACTGCACCACCAGTGGTTCTGAGTCCAGCGAGTCTGAGGTGGAGAACAAGGGCAACTGCAGCAGCCCTGTGACTGGTAGTCCAGTAGAGGCTACTTCCTCAATACCTAGGAATAAGTTTTCCTTTGGCAGCCTCCAGCTGGATGAGGATGCAGAAGTTGATGAATGCCATGTCTTCAGTGATGAGGATGGTGGACAGATTTTCAGCTGCTGACGTGCACAAACAAAAGGGAGTTGTACAGATTTATTCTGGGACCAGATAGTCCATTTGTATAAAACCAGCAGTAGTCTTCTTAAGCACAGCACTTCTAACTAAAGCACTATTTAAGAACTTTTCTTGGCCGTTACGTGTTTAGTCTCCCTTTATTTTTAATTATGTCCAAGCAGACATATGCGCGTGCCTTGTTTGGGATTCTACTGAATAGTTACTATTTCAAAACTCTAGAAGCTGCAATAATTTAGTGATTGTCTGTTTTAAAGCTTATGGTTAACTAAAGTGTGGTTGACCTGCTGTGTTGCTGAAGGTTCAGTTTAGTGCCTTAAGACCTCCAACAGGGAAACATTATTCCATAACTGCAGTGGTTCCCAACACTGGCTCCTGAGGAACACCACCCTGCATGTTTTAGTTCCTCTGCTCCAACACACATGGTTTGAATGAAAGGGCAATTAAACAGGCTTCTACAGAACTTAAGGAAGTCATTAAACCACTCAGTCAGGTGTGTCAGTCAGGTATGGTGTTCCTCAAGGACCAGGATTGGGAAACATTGTGTTAGAAAATCCAAGTTCTTAAACTTTGCGTTTTTGCATACAACACACTGGGCTTTTAATTCATTTTTTTGTGGCGTCAAATAAACTGTGGACGTTTTATTTTGAAATTTTTAACATTTACTGAAAACAGTCTCTGTCTTGTTAGATTGAACAAGGTGCAGATACTTATGGTGTTTTGGATGCAGTTTTATTTTTTAACAACAGCCTTTTTTTGGACTAACTTAAAGCAAGTATAATTTATCTTTCACAAATTATTTATATATATATATAAGAGAGAAATAGCACATAAGGCGAGACAAAACATTCCAATATTTTTTGTGTATTATCTTGTTGCATTAGAAGGTGGGGCAGTATCAGACTGGTGTAAAAGGAAAAGTGTGTTACAGTGATAGCTTTGTAATCTACTGGAGGTTCATACAATCTCCAGTCCTCTCAATAAAATGCCACTGCACTTTTTTATGTCCCATTTCTTTTGCACTTCTCTTCATGTTTGTGTTTAATCTGTTTGACAGCATGCATCTTTCTGTTACGTTTTTCCTCTGTTTAATGTTCACCACGAGCATGAATCAGTCTCATCTTGTCTGTTTTCTCTCTGCTGCATGTAAACCTGTTCTGTCACTCGGTGTGTGGGTGGTGGGTGGGGAGGAAACAAGATAATCAGACTGTGGATCCTTTATTCTTGTGGTGATTTGCGTTACTGTTGATTTTTCCAAAGCAGAGAGATCATAGTTGGGACGTTTGGGAATTCAAAGGAAAATAGAAGCAAGTTTTAGTAACTGTGTGTAATGCGCTTGTGAAAGGCAGTTTAAAAGTAGGGAGTCTCCTGGCTCATCCTTCATAATCAACTGCTTTTGTCCTCCTGGACATTTTTAGCACGGACTTAAAGATGAACGTCCAGAGAGGTGGAAGTTTGTTTTTTTAATATTTAAGAAGCTGTTTGACTGCTTTCTCTATTTTTTTTTTTTTACATTCACATACGTACCTAAATATAGATTCTTGTAACTGGTAAAAGAACAAAGCTATATGAATTGATCAACAATTTATTTATAAAGTATAACAGATGAAGTACTGGATCATTGCTGCATCAGGGACCCCTCATGGTGCACATAAATCTACACATCTCAAGTGACGCTTACAGGGAATTTTGATTTGATGAAACTTTGCATGCTCAGTATCTCAGTTCTGTAGGAAGGATTTGTGAGTGTTCTCAACCCCTGGTGTCCTTCAGGAGGTGTTTCCAGTGCATGCTGTACTAAATCAAGACAATGATGAAGTACGTGTCGAGCTATCTGTCCTGGCTGCTCTCTGCTGTATGTTCTGTAATTTGCAGTACTCTGCAAAAGTCTTGAGTCATCCCTCTGTGCTTATATTTTACTTCTAAACAGCTAGTCTTTCTTGTAATCCTTTAAAGTGGTATTGAGTATTTTTTCCAGGCTTTCTGAAGCCTTCAATGTTTGTCTTTGAACTTTCACTTTCAGTCACTTTAGCCGTTTTCAAAGGATTTTGTTTTGTTTAAGTCCCTTTGAATCATTCAGGTGTAGAAATGCTCCGTAACTCTAAAAAAATAATCAGTGTTGTCAACACGTTGCAGACAGCTCAGCAAAAAGCTCATTTTAAGTTGGTTCTTTAGCTAGCCAGTGGGGCGGCGGTGGCTGAGTGGTTAGAGCAGTCTTCCTCCAATGCAAGAGTTGGGGATTCGACTCCAACAGCCTTCACATGCCGGAGTGTCACTGGGCAAGACACTGAACCCCTCATTGCCTCCAGTGTGTGTCCCATCGGTGTATAAATGCGATAAAGCACTGATCAGCCTCTTTAGAATGATTTGTTCAATTAGCTTTGTAGAGATCTAGCAGAGTGCTGTATGAATGGGTAAATGAGGACACAAATTGTAGTGTTAAGAGCTTTGAGTGTCTTGATAAGATAGACAAGCGCTATGTAAGTGCTGTCCATTTAGTAAGTAGCTATAGCGCTAGCTAGCTAGAACCTATGTTCCAATTTGTTCCCATTTTGTTGCTGTATTTGTTGTCAAAGTAAAAAAGTATCAAAGATAACACAGTTGGATGTACCAAGTTATATTTTAGAAACAACATAGTGATTCCCAAAGACAAAACTTTCTCTAAACTTCCTCTGGCCTTTCATAGATCGCCAACGATCCACTCATGTCTCGTGACAATGGGACTTAAGATGAGGAGTAGCACTGATGTGGAACATTGCACATAAAATGTGTGTTGGACCTCTCCCATTTTTATCCCATGACAGGCTGGTCAGACCTCCTGTCATCACTACATCACACCCTTGAGCTGCCAGCTTACCCCGTGTGTTGACCATTATGGCTCTGTCAGTCCCTCACTTCTCAGCTCAGTGGTGTAACAGCAGCGAGTTGACTTCAATTCTCCATTGGACCTTTCATGTATCACCCCAAGATGGCCTGAAGGCCTTTGCATCCAAGCAAGAAGTGTTTTGTGAAAGAGACTAGGTCTTGTGCTTCCCCAAAACAAGACTTTCAGATACATCCGCTACATATATTTTAATTTTAGACCTGACATGTCATGATCAGCTAAAAAGGACTGGCCAAAAAAAAAAAAAAAGAGTAACAAGCAGCTAAAATTCAAAGAAAAAATTCTGGTTAAGACCACTTCAGAATATTACAAGAAAGTCCACCTTCTTGGAAACAAAGAAATAAATTGACGAGATCTTAAAAACTTTTGCACAGTACTTCATATGTGGCTCTTCCATTCACTTCATTGTAATTTCATTATCATGTAAGCAGACGGGTGAGTTTCATGTCAAACTGTAGGCTAACGAACTAATAAACAGTATATTCAAGTAACATCTTTTCAGCTCTGTGTATGACAAATGAAATTAGATGTTAAACTGGTGAGCTTACATTGGTAGTACATTTGGTAGTTTTAAACATTCTTAGATAAAGCCTAAGAAAATTGTTGTCTCCTTTTGACATCTCTTTTCCCACAAACTAAATAATGCTATTTTTAAGACAAATTGATTTTTCATTTTGAAACTGTAGTAGCTTGTGTATGTTTTTTGGAACTGGGTGTTCGTTGTAGACGTTATATAGATTTCCCCTTTTTAAAAACCCTCGTAGTTTTGTTGTGCTTCTTGGCGTATGGTTGTATCCCACTCATTGTTAGCATTGTGTAATTGAGTCACTTCTTCGCTCAGTAGCGTTTAGACTAAATGTTGTGCTGGTTTGTGGTCATGTAATCATGGTTTTATTTGTGCTGACACTCCAGAAGACGGCAGAGAGAGGCGGCCGTGTTTCTGCTACAACATAGTAAGTAAGCTGAGTGAAATGACACAGAGTAAGCCGCTCCTCTCGATCATCCCGCAGTATGTGCCTCAGCTTGTGCACTGATTGATACGGTGCAACGGCTGCCAGGGCTGTCTCAACTTCAGAGTGAGTCACGTCTGATTTTTATTTTTGCCAGATGTCCCAGTTTTACCTCGATGATTTTAGTTTAGTGGACTGTGGGTCAAACGATCTCTAAATGGACCTGAATATGCTCAAAATATGATCGTGACTAAAGGTTGATTAAGTTGTTTTTTTGCTTTTTATGGCCATTGCCAAGTTTTAAAAAATCAGGGTAGCTTATTGCAATTTATTTTGCCTATTTTGTTTGTTTTTCTTGACTCATAAACATCATATTTAATATTTATACACTTTGGAATCTATTGGATTTTTAACTAAAACAGCTTTATAATGATTAAGAAAGTGTTCATAGGGCGTACTATAAAAGCAGTGCCAAAAATAGAAGTAAACAATTAAATACAGTGTGTTAAAAAAAAAAAAAAAGTACGATAACTGGTGTGGTTGGAAAATTAAAAAAAAAACTCCCCTAGCCTAAAAGGCACCCCCATTATGGTAAGCACACACGTCTTACACCTGACTATAACTGTGTCTCAATGCTCAGGCATATCTGATATAGATAATAAAAAAAAGGTAAAAAATCGATGTTCATAATGACTCATCCAATCCGTTAGTCAATCTCTAATTATAATCTGAATTCTGGAAGGTTTAATTACCACAAAAATGTCAACACTGTCTCTGTCAAGTATTTATATTCATTATCCTATTATAAATAAATTGGTTTAATCTTGGGTTTTTTTTGTATTATAGAACTGAGCACCTTATTTATTTTTTCCATTTAAATATTTTTTCCATTTAAAGCATTTAAACCATCATCTGTGTGTGTTTTCCCACAGTGATGGAAATTCCTCTCAGACTAGATGTTTGCAGATGCTTACAATGTGTGCCATTACATCAAATCAGTTCACCGCACGCTGACATGACCATGTGACTTCCTGCAGGTGGAGAGTCCAACAGTCCTCACCTGTCTGTCTCTTCTGGACACCCCCACGGGATGGTGAACGGCCAGAAGTCACTGGACCTGTGCGGCCACAGCTTCGATGGCCGACAGCCTTCCCCGCTCACCAGCCCGCTGCTCAACGATGCCTGCAGTGTTCGCACGGACGATGAAGATGAGGTCCGGAGGAAGGTTTGGATATATTGGATTTAATGGAAATAGCTTCATCATTTCGTGTACATTTACTTAACAAACAGGTGGGTCAGGGAGGGTATAAGGCCTTTTTTTAACACTTGGCTGTTTTGATGCTTTTGCAGAGGTTTCCCACAGATCGAGCCTACTTCATCGCCAAAGAGCTGCTGACCACAGAGAGGACATATGTGAAGGACCTGGAGGTGGTGACTGTGGTAAGATGAGGAAAACAAGGTTGCTCTGCTGTTTTGACCCCATTGTGAATCAGTCCTTAGTGGAGCAAAGCGCTATTTATTCTGGTTAGCTTCTCCATTACAGCACACGCCTAATCACAGAGCCGGGCCACGGTGACACACAAATACTTTGACAGAAGCAATTTCATTTTTCATTCATTCCTCACGCTCACGCTCTGAAATGCACAGATCCACCTCGCCAAAGGTTGTGAATACTAAACTGTGTGTTTAAAAAGAGAGCTGCCGCGTGTTCTCCCTGCGCTGGTTTGTTTTGGTCGCTCAGATTTCATTGGCTGAGAACGAGCGCGGCATTTTATGTGATAATGTCTGAAAGTAAACACAGCAGAAAACAGGATAGTAAACGTGCAGTGTTGCTTCTCTGTGTAAATATGGATGTTTTGAATAATATATATATATATATATATATATATATATATATATATATATATATATATATATATATATATATAT